AAGCCAAAATGCATTTATTCAGATAGAATAATTCGTTAAACGTCTGCCATTACGATTTTAGTGGGCCCGGCATGGCCAGGTGGTGATGGCGCCAAGACTCGCAATCTGAGGGTCGCGGGTTCGGTAATCCCCGTCCACACCAAACAATGCTCGCCCTTTCAGCCGTGGGGGCGTTATAATGTGACGGTCAATCCCACTATTCGTTGGTAAAAGAGTAGCCCAAGAGTTGGCAGTGGGTGGTGATGACTAGCTGCCTTCCCTCTAGTCTTACGCTGCTAAATTAGGGACGGCTAGCGCAGATAGCCCTCGTGTAGCTTTGCGCGAAATTCAAAAAACAAACAAACAAACGATTTTAGTGACGGGGTGCAAGGGGGCCGTGAAGGAGGTTGTCGTGAAATCTTGTAAGTGTAGTGAATGTTGGTGTGATTTAAAGAAATTAATAAATAAGCCTAAAGTAAAGACATAGTGTGATATAACCTAGCCTAGCCAAGTGTATAAAATTTATCATGCCATTAAAAATATCGATCCAGGTCTAGAGTTAAATCTTTTCTGAATTTAATATTTATTTTTTCAATTTTTTAGTTTATACATTTCATTTTATACTTTCAGTACATAGACTAACAACAATATTGGGGTATATTTTTGTTGCTAAGCAGCGTAACATAAAAACCATTGTTGGAATGCATTGGATTTTCTATATACTAGAAGTTGTTAGATAAGAAACCAATTCTTTTCTATGTGAGTTTTCGCTAGCTTGCCTCATTTTAAAATGATGCGCACGTGCATAAGTAATAATACCCAGGTGCACACCCTCGGGGTCCAGTTAGTACGTGTGCAAAATTTCAGGTTTCTAGGTTCTTTCCTCTTGGAGCTTTGGTGGTCACATACACACAGACACGCCCTTTTATTATTATAGATGATAACTAATGAAAGATATAAAGCATGTCAATGGACTTTTTATAATCAGATCATAAGACGAAGATCGCCCCCCCTCACACACACACACTTGGTTTAGTGGTAGTCTAACGGTTTATAATACTAAAAATCGACCTTCAGTACCAATGGTAGGCACATCTCAAATAGCCCAATGTGTAACGATATGGTCGATACACAAAGAGAAAATATTTTTCAGTTTTTGAAAACAACCGCTTTTGAATGGTTTGGGTGATACTTGATTTTAGCATAAATATTTTAACATTTGTGTTAAAAACAAAAATTAAAATCGCTCAGTACCATTGTTCTTAAATCGTATGTCGATTAATAGGTATTGTTTCACTCTGAATATAATGGTAAACCCAAAGGAATATTCGTTTTCATATTTGAAGTCAAAATGCTAATGACTGACTTCATTAACCTACAAAATAGAAAAATCTGTATTAATTTCATCAGTTGTTTGTTTTCTTTTGAATTTCGCACAAAGGGCTATCTGCGCTAGCCGTTCCTAATTTAGAAGTGAAAGGCAGCTAGTCCTCACCACCCACCGCCAACTCTTGAGCTACTCTCTTACCAACGAATAATGAGATTGACCGTCACATTATAACGCATACTCTCAAAGCTGAAATGGCGAAAATGTTTGGTGGGATGAGGATTCGAACCCGTTACCCTCAGATTGTGAGTCGACCGCCCTAACCACTTGGCCTTCATTTCATTATGAAATATAAATGATAATTTTAATGTAACTTTCAATTATGAACATGGGCGACCACAGAATTTGTTTGTTTTTTTGGGGGGTGGGGCATGTATGTAGGTGATTAGCTTTTACTGTGTAAGTCAACAGACTAAAAGAATATGTGCTATGTGTGCTTAAACTCCAACACATATTTACAGTTTTAATAAAACGTTACTAAAATATTTAGTTTAACTCCGATGTTAAGTTTGCATCATAATACGTGCAATTTGTGTGAAATGTAAGAGGGCAAATGTCCCCTCCTGCGGGCGCCCATGATTATAAATTAATTGCTGGTCAGATCCCAGTAACTTACTAGTTAGATCTTGTTCGTTTTAAACGACGAAGGCTAGATATACGTAAAATGTTGTATTAAATAACTTGAGTGTGACATTATTTACTGGTTTTATCAAATTCATAATCCGCATAGGCATGTTAGTTTGCAAGTTCGTCTGGATGATGAGCAGGTTAATTCAAGAAAATAATATATGTTGTTAAATAAAATTAAGAAATAAATAAGTGTTATGGAAATATTTACCATAATTGTGATGTGTCGTTATGTAGGTAAAATTGTTAAAAAATTACACTTCAAAAGTTTAATACAAATATACTGTAATAGTTGTTGTAAAGCAGTTTGCTAATATAAATAGTGATTGAATCACTGTGTCTGTCCCTCAGTGGTATGTCTGCGGACTTGTACTGCTAGAAACCGGGGTTTCGATACCCGTGGTAAGCAGAGCACAGATAGCCCTCTGTGCTTAATAACAAACAACACTATGTCTATCATAGTTTATATCACAATCAGCCTGAAGAGCCCTGTTATTGCCTCCTCCAGGTATTCGGCAACGAGTCTCACAGGTAACTCTTGGTGTCACTTTCTGCTTCATAACAACTGGCCAAACTCTGTTAGCAGACGAAAGGTCTTGGCACTAGATATAGCAGACACAGTATGTTTGACATATTATACATTTTACTTTTATTTTGAAATTCATAATAACAAACTCACTAATGTTGTTGTCATACCCAATAATCCATCCCAAATATGACAAACAGTTTTGTGTTTAGGTAAGTATCACCCACTATCTAATATTTCAAGTATCCCTGAGAAAATCATCTAAGGAATTCCATCAGAACCACAACTGTGTGTGGAAAGAATGTCATCAATGTCTGCTTCAAACACAACCTTTTTCTAGGCTCATATAAGTATATATCTTCATAATGTATTCAACATATCCTATCATAAATGACGTATACCAACTTTGATTCAATGGTCTTGTTTGTGGTGTAACAAACAATTACAACTAATTTGTTATAATTTTGTATATGTATTGAAACATTATGATAATTAAGGCTATACATGACATATGAAGATTCGTAGCACAAACTTTCAATAAAGCCATTTGTGCTGCTAAGACTGTACATAGTTGTTTACTTTTTGACTAGAGAGAAGGCAGATAATCAACAGCACACATCACTAACTTGGGCTATTCTTGCCTGTCCAAGTATTGAGATTTGATTGTACTTTTTATAATATACCCACATCCCTGTTTTTTATAGCAATGCTCCACAAACCATGAACACCCTAATACACCCTGATCAAACTAGTAGGTCATACCTGGCTCATTATGAAGAAGTAAAAAGGACCAAAACAAAAACTGAGCCAGAAAAACGCACTTGAAGTATGTATATGTGTGTGTAACCTGACGATGAACTAAAGAGGTTGAAACATTGTTGCTTGTTTTAAATAAAGTATTTTGAATACCCATATTGGCCATTCCAACTATATATACATTGTAAGAAGTGTCTTGTCTGTATAGATTTAAATGAGAAAGTGCAACTGTTAATGGTTCCTTTATAGAATCAAGCAGTGTACAGACATCACTATGCAAGATCTGATTACTGTTCATCATGAAATGGGTCATATTGAGTATTATCTCCAATATGCTGATCAACCAAGCCTTTTCCGTGAAGGAGCTAACCCAGGTTAGTATCTTGGGGATATAGTAACATAAACTCAAAACATTATTGTGCAGAATTTTGCTATTTCATCACACTTTTCTTGGTTCCATAATAAGCATCTAGAGATATGTATTCAAACAAACATTCCCCATTTTTCTTCCTCCCTTTTAATATATTTTCTAAAAATCAGAAATATACTACCAAATATGTTGAACTTTACAACATATTACCTAAAATTTAATTATCAAACACATAAAAACTGAAGTCCATAAAATAGTAAGGTACATTTATGTATTCAAACAAACATTCCCCATTTTTCTTCCTCCCTTTTAATATATTTTCTAAAAATCAGAAATATACTACCAAATATGTTGAACTTTACAACATATTACCTAAAATTTAATTATCAAACACATAAAAACTGAAGTCCATAAAATAGTAAGGTACATTTATAAGTACAGTTGTTCTTTTGACATTTAATTAATAATACATATTTTTTTTCTCCCCCAGTGGGACAATGGTAAGTCTTTAGATTTACAATGCTAAAATTAGGGGTTCGATTCCCCCTCAATGACCACAGCAGATAGCCCAATGTGGTTTTGCTACAAAACAACAACAACAAACACACATTTTTTTAAAATTATTTTATCAAATTCGTTATTTTAATTTTTTGGAAATATTTATTTATACTATCATCAGATAGTGGATCATATTTCTTTCTCTCTTGTGTTGCTTTTCTTTTTGTTTCTTTTAGAATATTTCATTATAACATTGGCCAATAAAAAAATTAATTAACACTGTAATATCAATATAAGGTTGTTTGGTTTTCCAAAGCAGTAATAGTGCTAGTTTTATCTGAAATTGTTGATCTACATGAGTAAAGATTGACACTGTGACAGAGCTCTTCTTATTGCCCAATATTTAGGTATTTCATGTCTTATCCCACAATAACATTTTCACCAAATACCAGCTTAAGAAATTGTGCATAACACTGCATCAGAAATTAAAAAAAAAACTACACACAACATACTGGCTGTTATTGTAATTTGACACATGAAATTTACTGGCAAAGTTTTGTTGTGTGAAAAAGTAGTTTCATCAACATTCATTAATAGGATGCTAATAATAAATGATGCTAAATAAATACAGCCTAGAGTAGATACAATAAGTTGTTTCCTCGCATAAGCATCAAGTAGGAAGTACTTATCTAATCATAAACACCATATAGACTTAATTGAAATTTGTCAAATGCTTGTATGAAGTTTAATCCTAACAAGTGATTTTTTTTCTTCGTGTTCATGCCACTTGCTCATCTGGTGTTTAAGACAAACTGATAACTTTTGTAATGTTTAGAACAGTGATTCTCGTACTTTTTCGTATGCAGACCATTTCAGACGTACTGGTCCAAACCCATGTGCTTTCACTTGGCACCACAAAAAACTCATCAGAACTGATGGGATGGCTGTGGCATTGTGTGTCAGAGACTTGTATTTTGGACCAGTTTATGGATCACACTTTGAGAACCACTGTTCTAGAGAAACTTGGTTTCCCTGTCTTAAAGTGACTTGCAGTGACATATACACTTATTTTTTGACACACAACAGACTTACTTTATTTCATTGGGCACTAATATATTTGAAATACTCACTTATACACTGTCTTAGATTTTATGACTCATGTTCACCCACATTATTTAGAGAAATTAGAAGAATATTAGTTAATTAACCCAAAGTTCTTTTGTTGTAATTAATTTTACTGCTCTAGTGTCCGCTCTGGACTTCATGAGCTTGGCTATTGTTTTATCTGGACTTTTTAGTGAGTTATAGTAATGTTGCAAAATTTAGGTTTCAGATGCTGTTTAGCCTGAGAGTTAAATAAGAGTTTACTCTGAAAAAACAAGACATGCAGCTTGGTAGTAATTAGTCTGGTTGAAGTTATGAAGAAGTTAAAGTCGGTGAACTATTTAATTAAATTCCAAAAATTTTCCTAAGTGAATTGTTTAAAGTTTAATCACTTATCCTTTAAATGAGTCTGCGAGTTACTATTAATAATAATGTTTTTTAAAATAAAGCTAATAAACATGGGTACAAAATTTTATACTTAAAAGCATGCTTAACTTTCCTACATTATAGTATTGCTTTAAACACAGTACTTTAATATTTTGATTTTATATTTGAAACACTTTTTTCTTAAAGTAGAATAATGAAATGCATGATAATCTAAATATGTAACTAGACTGTACAATTTTCAAAACATTATTCAAGAAAGTTGTCTTCACTTTAAGAACTTGTACTTGGCTTTTATGAGAAGGTGCATGAAGTTATATTCAAAGAAATATTAAAAAATCATTTCTTCTTTACATTACACAACACCCCACTTCGTAAAAAAGATTTCTTAGCATTATTTTAAGGTATAAAATATAAAATATGGGAAGAATATTTCTTTAAATATTTTTTTTCAAGGTTTTCATGAGGCTGTTGGTGATGTACTAGCATTATCTGTCTCAACCCCAAAACATCTGAAGGCCATAAGTCTCTTAAACGAAATTGCTGATGATCCTGGTAAGTAGAACATGTTTTGGTTTCAAGGTTTTCATAGGGCTTTAAGGATGTATTGCCAGTCCTTGTGAATGATGAGCAAAGTTCATTCAAGTAAAAATAAATAACTTCAAATAATTAGTGTTACACAAATAATAACATGATATTAATTATTATTTGTGAAATGGCTGAAGTAAACTTAAAACAAATTGTGCTTCACCAGCTTAATCTACTCACACCATAATGGTTGTTCATTGACAGAGATTTTAAAGGCTAAATTAAGAGAAAGCAGCTAAGTTTTGATCGGTTAAATTTCCAAGTTAATAATCTAGTTACAGCTGTTGCATGCATGTGTGTGTATTAAGCTTCTCAGCACAGAGTATACATTACCCAAAACAATGCACATGTGTGCATATACATCTGTATTAATAAAAGAGCCTGTCTGTGTGTGTGACTGCCATAGATCCAAGAGGAAAGACCCTAGAGACCTGAAACTTTACATGCATACTAATGGAATTCTGGGGGTGTACATGAACAATTTTATGTGCATTATGAGTAATTTCATTGTCGGATAAAATAACTGCAAACTGGGAAAAGAATTCAAATCTATACAATGATGCCAAAACACTGTGGCTCCCTTTCCATTTACCTAGTGAAAATACTGATGTATGATACTTATTAAAACTCAGAATACAATGTAACTTTGATAACTCAATATATGTTACCTCTGTCAAACATTATGATATCTATCGTGGTGAAATTTAAAAATAAATGCACTTCAGTAAGCTAGCTGGTAAAAGCAGAAACTTGTAAAGTTATATTTCAAGCCTTGCCTTTATCAATAAATATTATTTGGGATTTTACTTTCAAAAAATAAGGGTTGCATAAAGCATATATCAAGTGTTTATGTTTCCATCATTTCACTGTTCAATAAGAATGAACTGTTGTAGCTTCAGGGATTTTAACCTCAATGCCCCCCAAACCCCTTGGACTACTATTGTTGAACTACCCCTCCCTGCAAAAAACTAGGATTACTCTTGCCTAAATAAAGAAAGTGTCATAAATACTCATGTTACTTGCTCCTGCTTCAAGTTATTTCTTGAACTAGCACATTTTAAACTTCTGTCATACATTTTAGCCATATAGTTAATATCTGTATATCATACTCTTGAATAGTACATACAAATACAAAGGCTGTGCACAAAATTTAAGAAAAATATAAAATTCAGTGACCTTCTTTCAAAGTAAACTGTAAAAATATTAAATTGTGTTTAAAAAAACTTTTTGCAATAGTACAGACATTTTGTAGATTTTAAATCATAAAGGTAAAATTGTATTACTTTTTCGTTGGTTTGAAGGAAAACGGTTTTTCAACATTTTATTCTTTACTTGGAGCAGAAAGTAGTTTGAATTCCAGTTGCATTTATCCAATTAAGCCAAACCAAGAAAACCCCATTTCTAGATGGCTGTTATAGTGAAGATAGATTAATCTGCATAGTTACATTTATAAAACTTGACAGACATAACTGTAATAGCTTTCATAGTTAAGCTAGCTTTCTTTTTTATTTTTACCTTGTGGCTCTTCATATGGAAAAGTGTGAAGTGATTTCTTTCTGTATCATTATATTCACAAATTTTGATTTATATGTGTAAAATCTGCTAAACATATGCTGTTGTGTATTTCAAGATCAGAAATATTAGTGGTATCATAAGCTCGTGTCATAATGTAAATCATTGTTAAAGGTGTTTTATATTTTTAGCATATGTCCATATCTTAAGAGGCTTACCTTCTTCTTTCTTGAATCCATTTTAGCTTATCAATGGAAGTTAAGAGTGCTAGGTGATCTTCATGTGAAGAGTTAATATACTTTCATCCATTGTACAGTTTGCTAATTGCATTTGCATAACATCTACAACCTCATAAGTGCATATCTAAAGTTTTTTTCAGTATTTTCATCCATTGTCATTCATATACTTATCAAGCTTTTTCTTAAACTCACTTAAATTTACTGCCTCTACAACATTCGAAGGCAACTCATTCCAAAGGCCAACCACCCTGTTAGAAAAATTAAACTGTCTTAGCTGAAGGTGACTCGTACCATACCAAAATTTATATTTGTGTCCCCTAGTCCTACTATTCTCACTCTTAATTATGAAAAAAGATGCATCAACACTATCAATACCCTTTACAATCTTAAACACCTCAATCAGATCCCCCACTAACACTTCTTTTTTCAAGAGAAAACATGTTGAGAGATTTCAGCCTCCAACAATTCAATAGCTTTCCTAAGGTAAGGAGCCCAAGACTGAACACAATATTCAAAATGTGGCCTAACCAGTGACCTGTACAATGAAATTATAACCTCTTTAGCCTTGTATTCAATATTTCTGTAGAAACAACCTAAAATCCTATTTGCTCTATCACAAGCAACAACAAACTGCTTGGATGGCTTTAGAGACTAATCAACTATTACACCAAGATCACTTTTCTTTATAACACTATTAAGGTTATTCCCATCCAAATTATACTTATAATTCAAATTATGATAACCCACATGCATTATCTTGCATTTAATATAATTAAAACCCATCTTCCATTTATTTGCCCATACTCTAAATGAGCTAAATCCTTTTGTAAATCAGCAGCATCCTCTTCACAGCTAGCAACACCCAAGACCTTAATATCATCTGCAAACTTAAGTAATTTATTGACTATCCCTTCATCTATGTCACAAATGTAAATCAATAAGAATGAAGGTCCTAAGACCGAGCCCTGAGGTAGCCCACTTGTGACATTAATCCATTTTGACTGAACTCCATTTGTGACAACTCTCTGCTTTCTTCCATCCAGCCACTCTTCTATCCAATTTGCTAACTTATCCCCCACACCTATAGAGATAATTTTTTTAAAAGCCTTTCATGTGGCACCTTGTCAACTACTTTCTGAAAATCCAGATACACCATATCTACACTCTTACGCTCATCTACATAAGCAGTAACCTTTTAAAAGAATCTTAAAGGATTTGTAAGGCAAGATTTTTTCGTAATGAAACCATGTTGACTATCCAATAAAATTGTAAACTTTGTTAAATGACTTTGCAAAGCAACTTTTAACAAACTTTTTTCCCACAACTAATATAAGACTAATGGGCCTACAATTACTGGGACAATGTTTATCACCTCCCTTGAAAAGAGGAGTTACGTTAGTTAAATTCCAATCCTCTGGTACCTGCCCACTATTCAAGGACTGACAAAAAATAGTAGTAAGTGGCTCACATATCCAATCTTTAACCTCCTTCAAAAACCTATGAGGAAATATTATCTGGCCCAAGAATCTTACGTTTTTTTAAAGTAAAATCACCCATAATTATGACTTCATTAACAGCTGAGATCGTAATCTCACTGTGAAGTTTCTCACTAATTTCATTAGTATCATTTGATGGTCTGTAACAAATTCCCACTAAAAGTTTTTTCCCTTTAAATCCACTAATAGAAACCCAAATGGATTCAATTTCTTTGCTATTATCTTTGATATCCTCAACTTCAACAGGATATAACTCACATTTTACATATAAAGTCACTCCTCCCCCCTCTTTAATATTCTATCCCCATTAAATTGCCTGTAACCCTGAAATACATTTTACATATAAAGTCACTCCTCCCTCCTCTTTAATATTCTATCCCTATTAAATTGCCTGTAACCCTGTATTTCAAAGAAATTTCTGTTATCAAAATCATCTACATTTAACCATGTATGTGTGCAAAGTTTCAGGTCTCTAGGTTCTTTCCTCTTAGAGCTATGGTGATCACCCCCCCCCCCCCCCACACACACACACAAACACAAACAGGCTCTTTTATTATTATAGATGTAATATGGTATTCCTACATACAGTGTGGCATCTATAAGCAACATTTCACCTTCTTATAAACCTACAAACAAATGTGAAACTAGTAAACATTTTCCACTTTGAACTTCCTCTTGCAAGTTTATAAGTCAATACTCATGTCATTACAGACAAAAATGTGTATTATAGACAATTCAAAAACTTAGTAAAACAAGTTGTTTGATACCCATCCACACCAATATAGAGTTTAGGGTTTTGTTAACCTTGCAAAATCTGTTTCTAATAAATATATTTCTATAATTATGAGAGTGATATATAGTTGAAATGTAAAATTAATATTTAGATGTTCAGACATTGCAAATAAATATTGCATCAACCCAGATGATTATGAAAAGGAATTTTTAGATTTAATTTGAAGAACATTTGAGAATTAATGCCATAAGTTTAATATTTTATAAACTCCTATTTTTGTTTCCATTTACTTATTTTGTGATTTGAATGTTTTTGTCAATCCACATCTGTTATTGGACAGTTTAGATTTTTCAAATATTCAACTGAGAAATGATACACTGGCATATTCTTTATACTTCTAAGTTTTTTCATTTATTTTAATTGTGTGTTTTTTAAAAATGCACTTTTGAAATTTTTCAATTATTTCTTAACTTTATTTTGTTTTCGAATTTGCAACTTGTTTCTTATATTTGTAGAGTCCATTATCCATAATATAATGTATATGCTTTGAGTACACTTCTAATTGTTTTGGTTTTTACAAGAGGGTGACATCAACTATCTCTACAGTATTGCTTTGGATAAGATTTCATTTCTTCCATTTGGCTATTTGATGGACCTCTGGCGGTGGGGAATATTTAGTGGAAACACATCTGTTGAGGAGATGAATACAAAGTGGTGGGAACTCAGGTTAGATTTTCCAGCCATCATGACAGTTTTCCATTTAACATGTGTTGATATAACCTTGAATATTTCCTGACTAATACCATTTCAGCTAGTATAATATGAACTGCTGTTCATTCAAAAACAGTAAAATTGTTTGTAGTTACTGTTATGTAAGAGTACCATAGCTTCAAAGAAAAACTTATGTCTCTACTTAATAATTAATACTGAAAGTTTTTGTACATTATCATAAGACATACCATTTATTATTCATTAAAAACTTCTAGTAATTGAGTCACTTAAATTTTCTTTTATGTTACTGTAATGAAACGTTTATGGTATTTAATGAAAACCATATCTTAATTTCAAGTTCATAAATATCAAATTGAATTCTACTTTTGTTCAGGTTGAAATATCAAGGTGTTTGCCCACCTGTCAAGAGAACAGAAGAGGATTTTGATCCAGGTGCAAAATATCATATACCTGGCAATACCCCTTACATCAGGTAAGTCAAATTCATACATTGGATCAATGACTTGCTTTATTAGGATATATTAATACATAATGATTTTGTCATTATCAAAACAAACATGACAGCGTGATTCCAATATTTGAGATTTGTTATTGACACACAACTGAAAAATTATAAACCAGCTCAAATGTAGTTTCTGTAGCTTCACTTGCTCTAAACTCACCATATCTTTATGATCTTAATCAGTTTAGTTTTAATTCTTTTTGAATCTGTTTTCTTTAAAATAGTTATATTACATCTATGTAATTATCAATTTGCAAGAAAGGCCTGCGTTGAGACAGTGTGTTTGTCTGTATTATATAATATGATAAAGTCTTAATTCTCATATGTAATCATTTTCTGTTATTTTGATAATTAATTGTATAATTACTTTATATTTATTTGAAGTTTTATCATTTCAGAAAGAACTTGTCCTTTTTGAGGGATTTACTTATTACTCTTGAGCTGTTTTATGATCTGTTTGTTTTACAGTTTGTATTTTGTATTTTTCAATTAAATGATTAGACTTTATATTGGACATTGTGATTGAAAATTATATTTTCCTCAAGTTAACAAGGTTGTCAGTTATATTTTTAGTGAGTACTGATTTTAAGGAACTGTTTTATCTGTTATTGTGGTGTCATGGTATCAAAATTGGCTAGCTCTGCAAGATGGCCAATGTAATCTCAGCATAAGCTTACCTTTACAACAGGTAGTGTTCTTGCATAAGAATAGATAAATTCTTTAAATATGTTTGGATATACATAAGTTATTCTTATTTTAGGTACTTCGTGAGCTTTGTCATTCAGTTTCAGTTCCATAAAGCTCTTTGTGAGGCTGCTGGCCATGAGGGGCCACTTTATAAGTGTGACATCTATCAATCTAAAGAAGCTGGAAAGTTACTGAGGTTGGTGCTCAAATCTGTTTTACCATTGTATATAAATGCCTAACCATAAATTCTAAAATACTATTATAGTGGTTGAAGATGTTCTTATTAAATGTTTGTCTTAAGAAGTCTGAACCTAGTTCAGATAGAAATTTTGTTTGTGTGTGTATGTGCATGCAGTGTTAAAATTGCTTGCATGGAAATTCAGGATCTATCTTATTACACTAAATGCCAAATACAATTGAAAATGATACAACTAATATATAAGTTGCATTATTGAATCTTGAGTAGAAAAACGTAAAACAAGGGTGCACACACAATGTGGACATACAGCCCTAACTCTAACTAACTAGTTGCTAGATCAGAGTTTCTCAAAGTGTGGGTTGTGCAAAAGGTTTGAATTGTACTCACAAGAACTCCAGAAAATATCTTTTACCTAATAAGAGTAAAATAAGTAAAATTATAACAATTCTTTATTATAAAAAAATCACAGTTTGATACCTCCTGTAATTTGGGATTTCCTTTACTGGTGTAACACAAGATAAAGGAGCACTGAAAGATGTGGAAACAGAACTATGATTCCTAAAACAAGTGCAAAGTTCCCATTAAAAGTGTTAAGTTAGTTATCCTTCCATATCTTTCAGCTATTGCAATACATTTTTATAATTTGGCAATTCAGTGTGTTATTGTAGTTCAATCTATTTTACTAATGAAACGTTTTTAATAAAGCATTATTATTATTATTATTACCATTTTTCAGTAAGTTTTTTTTTTTTAATGTAGAGTCTTGGTTAAGGTAGCATTTCTAGGGCTTTATGGAAAGGGTTATACCATGAAAAATATTTTGGAACCATTTTGATACATGCTTGGTGTGGGAGTGGAATTAAGCTGATATGCATAATGTAAAATCGAACATGTGGAATTAACAAAATAAAAGTGAATTCATTTCTGGGTTCACACTATCAATTACAAGAAGACTTTAATAATTTCTTTTTAACTTCAAATCATTTTCAGCTCCATAGAAATATAGTACTGAGAAGATGTTCTGCCCTATACTAAATATATTTCCTGTTTATAACAGTGTGTGCTATTATAGTTCACTGGTAAATCCAACATATTCCTTTTTATGGCAAGGGAAATTAAACCTATAACTAGCATCTGGTCATCTATTCTTAAATGCATCATGTTTGAAGCGAGATAAACCTTAGTTGTGTGTTGACACCTGTGTGTAAAATTATGTTGATTTATCTAAGTTGTTAATGTTTTAGTTACATACAAAATAATGTCCTGCTTTAATTAAGCCAAACTAACAATGTAGGGTTCTTAGGAACTATTAAGGATTCAAGTAATTTAAAATTATCTTAATTTTTGATCACTTCATGTAGCAAAGTGTAAAAACACACAGCTGAATATAAGTCTCTTGTAACTATATGCACCTTGGTTGAAGGTGTTTTTTATTTCTCTTTGAGAACATAACTAATAAATTTGTTCTCTCAGATCAGATACTCAACTGACATTTGTGTATATTTTATAAGTTTAATATTGGTATGAATATTTAATGTGATAAGTTATTGTTCTTTGCAAAATAAAATACAATAAAATCTAGTTGCATTTATTATTTATGATAATATAAATATTGTTATTATTAGTCTGCATAGCAAAAAATATTGTTATCAAACATTTCAGCTAAATGTTTATTATCTTGTAGTCAAGTTCTTCAACTTGGAAGTTCAAAGCCTTGGACTGAGGCTATGAAAATCATGACAGGAGGGAAGACCAATAAAATGGATGCAGCACCCATTATAGAGTACTTTGATCCTCTTATTCAGTGGCTCAAAGAACAGAATAAAAATTACACTCTTGGCTGGACCAGCAATGATCCTACAATTTGCCCTTAGAAATATTAAAATACAATAATGTATTACAGTTATTCCAGATTTTATATATCTCACACGTTTACAGTTATTATATTTACTTCTATAGCAACATTAGTTATTGATAAGTGCTACTGATGTGTTAACCACATTATATCTGCTATATCTACAGCTAATGAGGATTTTCACCTGATACCAGACACTGTCACTTTGAGCAATGTATTTTGTTTGACAGTGCATTTAATAAAATTCTAGATTTTTAATTGTATTTAAACAAAATATTTTTTTGCTTTTTTGTGTGTTTCAAATTGAACTATCACTTGAACCTCAGAATAAATAAATATACATAATTAACAAACAGCAAAAACTTATATTTTAATTGATTTCAGCATGAGTATATAAAACACTTAAACATATTCTGCAGAATTTCATACTGTCTCAAATAAAAAATTTTATGTTATGCTTAAAAAATGATAAAATACATGACTAAGAGTCAGTAAAAAAACATCATTCAAATCATGATACAAAATCTCTTACTAATTGTCACCATCAGTGACTTCGCTGGTTTTTATTCCAGTGTATTTGCCAGATAGTGGCAAGTTTTGATAAACTTAGGATATGCAAAGTTTGTGTAAAATTTGATGTGTAATTATAACAAGAGTAGCATTCAAGGAGTGAATTTATTTATCAAAACAAGAAGACAAGCATATTATGTATTAAGAACTATGTACGAATGAACCAAAAAGATTAATAGATAAAGATTTAAATCAGAATAAAAGATAATTAATACCAGAACTTAGACATAGCATTGTTAATAGAAGCTTAGAGCAAATTAATAAACATGTTTATTGGAAAAAATTTCAGTGTGTTACCAGGCAAAGCACCTTCACCTTGATCTTACTACACTTGTTCTCTGGGGTGCTTACTAATCTTACCTTCCCAAAAAATCAAAAACACTTAAACTAGATTCAAACTAAAGATATATTGAAAATGCTTAAAGCAATCCAAGTTGCCATGATAATCTAGTAGTGAGTGGTACAGATAAAAGTAAACACATAAATAGGTAAAGTTACAGCAAAGAAAATTTAACTGATCATTATTAGCAGAGGACTATTACATAAAAATGGTATGCTCTTGGCTTAGAGTAACAAGCAAAACCAAACTTAAATAAGAAAGCTCCCTGGTTATTTATAAACTCAAATATAGGCCACACCCAAAGCAATCTGAAGACATTATCCTCCATCTGCTGCTACTGGCAACTAAACGTTATATAATGAAGCAAATTTATTGCATTATTGTTTGTTTATTTGTTTGGAATCTCGCACAAAGCTATACAAGAGCTATCTGTGCTAGCCTCCCTAATTTAGCAGTGAAGACTAGTGGGAAGGCAGTTAGTCATCACCACCCACCGCCAACTCTTGGGCTACTCTTTTACCAACGAATAGTTGGATAGACGACGTTTGATAGGACAAGGATTCGAACCCGTGACCCTCAGACTGCGACTCGGGCGCCCTAACCACCTGGCCATGCCAGGCCTTTATTATATTAATCAAACATAAGTGACGAAAGTTGATGCCTAAGTTTTGGCCAATTAGAGATTAGTGGTTTTCTTCTAATTAAATAAATAAAAATGAAATACAAAGTACCAAAATAAGCATGTTAACAGAGCATATATACTTGCTCTTAGTCACATAAAAATTGAAAAACTATTAGACATGTATGTTTTGATAATGCATCTAAATGTCACTGAATTCGATAATAGTAACTAGAGTATCACTAATATCATGCACAGTGGGATGAATTTAATCTGTATGTAGCTGAAGCTAGCGAGATAATGCTTACATCTTCAATGTAGTCTGCCTTTATCATCAGTGCCTACAAAATTATAATACTGGTTCATGTCAACAAAAGTTACCAAGTATGAGTAATATCACTTACGAACAAACCTAAGACAATCTTGTAACTATAGAAAAATCTCAGGGTGATTACTTCAGTTAAACACGTAAGTGCTAA